ATCTCTTGGTCATCACAATCAATATCATCTTTGTTTATTATTTTTTGACCTACACAACACAAACATAGAGAATATTTGAATTTCATCTAACAACTTGTCTTCTCATGTAGCAATTTTACAATTAAAAAATTTTTACAAATTACTTTACAGATTATTAACTTTATAAGTAAAATAGGGTATATAGCATGGTATACAATATTATAGGTTTCATACTGCTAAACATTTGGTAATAAAACCAGAATATCATTAAAGAATAAAAATTTTAAAATGACATTTTGAAGTAAGTCACTCCCTTTCTTGAAACAAATCATCATATTTTTTCCTTTCAGCCTTTTTTAACTATAGTAATTCCTTTATAAAAACCACTGATATTAGTTTTAATTTTTAGAGTTAAAAAAGAAAATACAGAAATACAAACACAACCTAGTTTCAACGAAGGCATACAACTTTAAACTAAAAATACTCCAATATATTTTCAAATTTAATTCTACAAAAAAACAATACAAACACTTGGTTGATTTAAATATATACTAATTTATATAATTTTTACTTAAATCAATTCGCCTAATCGAAGGTCACACCATTATTTGAGTAAACATACTCTTTTATATATTGCCGTGCTGTACGTTTAAAAAAAATTTTTTTATCACGTTAAAAAAACGTTTTAAAAACGTTCATAAGCTAACTGAGAAATTTCGTAAGTTAATAAAAAAAAAATAAAACGTTTAAAAAACGCTAAAAAAACGTTTAAATTAACATTAAAAAAAACGTTTGCAAAAAACGTTATAAAAACGATTGTATTGGTTCTTTAAACGTCCGACCGTAATTTGAACGGAATTAAAACGTTTTAAAAACGTTCTGTGCTTACTGGGTAGCTATTAGTTTAATAGACATATTTTAAATGCCTAACTATCTACTAATTATAATTTTATTTAGTTATGTAACTTAACATGGTAATGTTAATTAGACATTATTATATCATTTTATTACTTTTTTTATTGATGATAATAAATGTTTTATTACAACAAAACTATGTTTTGTAATAACTTTGTAAATTTTTTACAAAGCTATTAAAAAACAAAAATAATTGTAATTGTATTCAAAATATATTTGCAAATTTATTTTGTGCAAAATATCTTTAGAAAAATTAAAAAACTAAAACATCAATAACTCCTTGATAAAACATAAGGCTAAATAAAAATTGGTTCGCAAAGTAGATATATGTTTAATATTTAAAATAACGAAAGCCAAAACATTTTTTCATCAGTCAGATTTTTTCTAGAACTATAGTTGTCAATGGCCTTTTTTATTGTCATTAACAAGTCCGTTTTGTGGATCTAAAAATAAACTATATTTTTTTGTTTTGAGAGATATAAGTTTATGATTTTCAGATTCAGCAGGTTTTAAACTTCTTTGGTACCAAATTTTAGCTTTGCAACATTACTACAAGTTTGTTAAAAAGTTAATGGTAAATTGACATATTTCCGGCGTTATCCGCCCTCTTATTTCAGTTAAAAAATAACTAACTTTAAGTTGCTGTAAATCTTAAAGGGTGGAGAATTTTTTGAAAAAATTTTACAGTTTTTCCTATTTTATATTTTTAAACATTTGTGCCAAATTTCAGCGAATTTGGTGATGCAGGGTGCAACCCCTTGTTTTTTGAGAAATTTTTACCCCATCCTGATGTAGAACTTGAAAAAAAGTTAAAGTTGTCTTAAACATTTCCACAAAATGAGGAAACCTCAGCAGCATGAACACCAACAATATTTCGAGTATGAGTTGCACATGGGATAAATTCTGCTGACTGTTGACTCACAGAGAATGATGTGAGCTTGGACACTCTTGTATTTTCCAGACATATTGGCTCCATTGTCGTAACTTTGGTCACATCAATAAGAAATCTTTAGACCAACCCTTTAATTTTTTAGTGATCTTTGTTGCAAGACCTACTCCTGTTTTTCGGTAAGATTCGATGAAATCCACGAAGCTATCCTTAATTTTACAGGTTTCATCATTGATGTGGACTTACCTGATTATTTGAGTTATCTGCTCCTAGTAGAATGTAGTGCAGTCAAACAAAACAGAGTAGTATTTAGCTTCTTTGATTTTTAAAATTATTTCTGAATTTTTGCTCGAGTAACTCAATCAGCTCTGAATTCAAGGAGAAAAGTAGGACGTTGTGGCTTTCTTTTCTTTAACAAATTTAATATGTTCAGCCACTAAAGTATAATAATGGCTCAATTCCAACTAAATCAAGTTCAGAAAAGTTCCAGCTTTTTGTTGACTGATGACCTATGTTGTGCCCTTAATGGCGAGAATGTTCTTAGCACAAAGCAAAATTGCATTAGCAATCACTTTTAAGATGTCTCTTCACTTTTTCATCTCACCGTTGATAACTCTCTGCAAATCAGAATCCATGGTCTTTCCTTCTTTAAGATTTTTTTCGAGAGTTTTCCAATCAGAATAGCTTTATTATAAAATCTTAATATTCAGAAGTTATTAACTATGTTTTGACTAAGTTTTGAAACCGATCATGCGTTAATAAATGCGTTTTAATCTAAAATGTGATGGTAATCCAGTAATCAATCGTTCTTACTTTTTAACAATTTTTTTTTAGCCACTTTTTTAAAATATTTTAATATTATTGTTTGACGATGGGACTGTCTATATAATCTCAAAATATAAAAAATAGAAATAAAATTAGTATTGAACGTTTTCTATAAAAAAAGACCGCGGGGACTACTACAGTTAATTAACTGTAGTAGCCCTGCGGTTCTGGGGTGGTAAACAGAGTAAAAAAAAAAAAGTTAAAAATTTCTAGACCAATTTATAAAAAAAAAGGTCATACTTTTTTATTAAATTGTTAAGGTTTTAATGCAATGACAAAAATATAGGAAACCACAGAACTTAGTGTATCTTGCTTGAAGTCCAGCTACACCTAAAAAACGTATTAATATAAAATCTTATTTAAATTTGGACAAGCGATTGAGATTTTAAGATGATTTAAAAAAAAAAAAAAAAAGATTTCAAGGTCTGGGTTTTTCCGCTAAAAACATCTATATTTTATGATACCGCAAAATATATTATTTTAATTTTTTTCGTCTTTTCATTAATTCTGTTATTTTCTGTTAGTTTCGTCTTTTCATTAATTCTGTTAATTTCTGTTAAATGGTCAGACCAGACCATTTAACAGAAATATGTCATAATCAACAAAATATCATACAGACGCTATAATATTTTAAAAGTGCCTTAACTACACCGAGTAGCTTGATCATTCACCTACATCCTAATTACCTACAAAGTACATTAATTACATTAAACTTAAAAAGCAGATTCATGTTGTTTAACTCTTCATTTATTTTTTAGAACGTGAGGTAACAACTATTCAAAAAATATCTTAATTTAATTATTATATATACAAGAAGCCCAAAATTAGTTTCCCGATTATTAAATAATCACTTCATATGTCTCACTGTAATAACATGACAAAATTCTTTCGATATTTTTTACTTGGAATTTTTGCAGCATTGTGTGTATGACGTGCTTCCTTTTTACAAATAATATGAAAATTTTTTGAATTAAGTTGTACGGAATTCTCAACAATTTGTGAATGAGAAGAGATTAGATCAATATTTTTCGAGTCATTGGCTTTTAAACAATCTTCTCCTTTAGTATAATTTTGAGTTAATGATGGTTTCTCTATGTTTTTATCAAAGTATTTATGAGCTCATACCATATTTCAAAGTATCAGTTTTGTCTTTAGAGCTTTATTGATTCTGTTTATAGTTTGATCATCAATTGATTTCTAATCATAGACAACCTCCACATTTCTGCTGATCTCGCAACTGCTGATCTCACATCTGCTGATCTCACATCACATTTGCTAATCTCACATTTGCTGATCTCACATCTGCCGATCTCACATCTGCTGATCTCACATCTGCAGATCTCACATCTACTGATGAAATAATAAGTATAGTTATAATTTTATTCCTGAAAATATTCCTGAGAATAAACTTTAGATTTAATATATTAACTTTAGGTTTAATATATGTTTTTTAAAAAGAATTTTCAAAAAAAAATTTAAGAAATTTTCGTAAACTTTAAATCATTTATAAAAGAAATGGTTGATGTAACTTCACTATTTTTTAGAGGAACAGTTGTATAAAACTAAACTCGGAGGATATAGGGTAAAAAAAAAAAAAAATTAACCAGTAATCAGTAAACATGAAGACACATTAATCTTATTACCTATGTGAATGATTGTGGAAGCCAATTTTTTAACTTTCATCATGTAATTTTATGTATTTATGTAACACTTATAAACACTTATGTAATATTATGTAACACTTATGTAATTTTGTGTGTGTATCTTATTTTTCAGTTAATGAATGTTTACATTGCATATAAATATATGATAATTTAAAACTGGAGCAAGAAGGCACATTTTGCCTTCTCGACGAGTCCCATTTAAAAAAATTTGCATAACCGTGACATACAAACATATATAAAACCGTGACATACAAATATATATATTAAAAATGAAGTATAAAAAAACTAAAAGAATATCGAAATACAAAATAATTTTTAATATGCTTGAAACTGCTAAAGTGTTTTAGAAATATATAAGCACAAATTCTCAAATAAAAAAAATAAAAAAATAATAAAATTTCATAACTAACATACAATTATTATTAATAAAAAAATTGCTTGCATAACACCACTTTTTACAAATTTCTATTTCAATTTTATTTTGCAATTTTGCCATTTTCAAATAAAAAACAAGTTTTCAATACATACAATTGTACTTTACTTAAAAATTATGATTTGACAATGTCCTCTATCAAATCCATTGCATATTTGGATATATCAGTATTTTGTAGGTCATCTTTTGCTTTTGATTACTGCCTGGATTTGGCGTGGCATACTAATAGCAGCCGTGGCGCAGTGGTAGCGCACTTGCCTCAGAAACGTAAGATCCGTGGTTCAAACCAACTTCT